TAAAATAAAAATACGAGCTAACTTTTTCAAATCCATCGAGTGTTTTATTACTGGATATGTACGCTTTCAGAAAATATAAGCAAAGTCCGGGCTGGTTTTAATTGTCATAAACTTGTCGCACAGTGTTATTCATAAAGCGCTAAAACTTTGATATCCGAGATAAGGGTTTTGATAGTATGAAAGAGTGTTTTGCGGCTTAAGGCCACTTTCTTCACTGGACAGGCGCTATACTACATATGTATGTATGTATAGCAAAAGACTATCAAACTGATTGGTCTTATTTTTTTCGTTTGTCTTCAACCACCCTAGCATCAAAAGCTGCTATGAACATTAAGCGCAAATAAGAAAATGAAAAGCATATGTATGCACTCGTACATAAGGATTTACATATGTACATATGTATGTGTGCATGTACATATGTATGTATAAATAAGCTTTCCATGTGGATATTTGGTGAGAGAAAATGCCCATTGTGACGTGTTAATAATGCTTGAAAACATAAACAAACAAATAACTTGTCGAGGTCAGGTTTCTACAAATATGCAAACGCATAAATGATTCAAGTATTCCAACTACGCCATAATCTCGTTTTCACTTAGGAGCGAAAGGCGGTTGCTGTTGGAAGCACTCTGCGCATAACTATCTTACATAGAGCACATGTAAATATGTGCATATGTTACTATGCATGTATGTCCATACATACGTTTATAACTAACTACTTTGGAATGAAAACATGCAACGCAATGTAAGCTAATGGGTAATGTCTCGTAGAAGGTTTGAAGCCAACTTATGGTGGTAGCTGAATTATTGCATTCCCATGCGATCTAAGGTGTCATGTGTAATTTTGAACCTAAGCATACCTTTTTCCATATTATTTCAACGGTATCTGTACACGAATGGAAACGTGTCGGACTACCACCTCGTTGGTCGCGGGTTCAAACTCTGCGGAACCAACTCTTTATACATTGTCACACATTATCTTTTCCTACTGGGTATTTGTTTTGGTATGTATGTATGTATATACATATATGTGTAAATATTTATAAACAAAATATGAGCGCTCGTAAGATTTGTAGGGCAATTGGTAATTGGGGTTAAATATCTGATATTATCTTTCAAGTCAATCATATTCCAGAATAATCGAGATAGTTAATGCACTTAAACACTTTAACACAACACTGTTAACTATGCCTATCGTTAAAGTAGAAAGGTCGCACCTCACATCGTCGCACAAATGCAAAAGGCCGTAAATAACTAACTAAAAATCCAAAATTCACTTTTTATTGATTATGATACATTTCATCGAATTATGAGTCCCCACATCGTTGTATGCAATAAAAAATCTTAGTTTTTTCCATTTCAAAGACGATCTGATTTAGGAAATATCTATATTAAGGTAACGATATATGTATACATATGCATACATACATATTTAAAACACCTATTCACCTTCACCTATTCTATTTGATACGGGAAAAGCACATATAGTGCGCCCTATAACTATAGCACATCATCCAAGCTCTTTTTGAATCGCCACAAAAACCGAATTACATATTTCTTATCTAGAATCGTCTAAGCGATTTTGGGCGAATCAAGAACCTTATAAATCCAAAATGAAACCTCTATGCAAGCTTTCATCACACTCTCTTCTTGTCATACAGCTTTCAAAACGATACCGCCCTTATTAAAATAATTCCATTTTACTTGTAACACATATTGATTGGTGCAGTGGTTTTCTTTTATAACTACGTAGTATGTATACATAATGTGACCAACTATTTCATAGCTCAAAGAAGTATAGGTTAGATTGGGTTAAGTTAGCGCCGATTACGAAATTTCGAATGCAGCTAATTTCGATCCCTGAGAGCCCAGAGTTTGTTCAGAAGTGCGAGCCAAAATGCTTCCATCTTAGCCTCGCGCCACAGTCTAAAAGAAAGTGTGGAGATGATTCCACTTCATCTTCCTCTTGACAGCTGATAAAAAAGGATCAGTTGAGATTCCTAGTCCCACCGCATGAATACCAATCACACAATGACCTGTAAGAAGCCCTTGAGAGGTAACCTGTTTTAAAGTGCCCTACAAAAACATTTGTTGCAGCAGAGAAACGTCTTATTTTCCTTTTTTTTATGTCACAAAAGGACCCGGTTTCCCTTAGCTCAATAGCTGTTCGTGCTGCGACAATTCTGTATGCAATATCCGCAGGCGCCGTGTTGAACCCATGTATGTTAAGCGCCAGTGTAGGTGTGGATCCTAATGCTCCGCTAAATCCTATTTTACAAGTGTAGCCTTTTCTAGTGAGTTTCATCAGACAAGGGCTCCTTGAAAACACATACATAGGCTTAAATCTGGTTTCCTAGGGCTAATGAATTAATTTGGGCGAGAGCAGTGTTGCCGTTGTGCGACTAAAGGGGCAATTTGATCCTTTTTAATCGCCAATACCCTTTGGCCCGACTTTTTGAAAATTTTTATTTTTTGGCCCTGAGTCTGAGATTTTTTAACCGACTTCCAAAAAAGGAGGAGGTTATCAGCTCGTCGGAATATTTTTTTTGTTTTTTTTTGTTTTTTTTTTTACTACACTCAGAAAAAAGTCAGCCAAATATATTCCTCTCAACACATGATTGGGTAACTATAAACAAATAATGTAACTATAACCAAATCATGTGTTGAGAAAAACATATTTAGTTGACGTAACTAAACTCTTTTCTCAGTGTAGTAAAAAAGAGCAAAAATAATATGTTGAACCTTTTTTTCGTCAATGACCCCTTTTTTGCGACTTTCTGAAAATTCTCAATGGCAACACTGGGCGAGATACCTCACTTTTTACCGATAGCTCCCCTACAGCAGTACAAGGCAACCGACACCTTTCTTACCCTTTCCTCAATGTTAGACTTCCACGACAGCCTCCGTTGATGGCCCACCTAGTTACCTGGTTCAGGTAACCTTGAACCAGATCAAAAAGGTTGTCTAGAAATCGTCCCTTAATCAAAAGTTCCACATCATCTACATGGGCGATCACCCGACAACCCACTTTTTCCAGTTTCTCTAGAAGGTCATTTCAACCGCAATACAGAACAGGAAGTGCTCCTAATGACTCTGCACTGAGTGCAGGCGCTACCCCACTCCGCCGCGACAGTTCTGTCGCGAAGTAAGCTGTATATAAGCTTTATTAGGTTGGTTTCAACCCCAGATTATGAATATACTTGACTATTGCCTTTGGAGTGCCTGGTGGTGGAGTGGAGCGCCTTTTCCGGCCTTCGGGATGAACGCAACACTGACTAACCTCCAAGCCTTGGGGATGTATCGGCCCTCACGCAGTTTGCATAAATAGGATCCAACCAACTGCACGACACTTTCAGAGGCCTTTGCAGCTGCGCAGGTATGAAGCCATCGGTCCACGGCCACTTTAATGGTTTGAACGAATTTATCGCCCAGGCCACGTGATGACCGTCCAGAAGATCGGAGAAGTACGGGACCTGGGGGGATATTCCGAAACCAGTTAGCGACAAAAACATTTATATCATGCGTCAAAAAGTGCGATAGCGATCCAAAATTGTCGCTAACTGGTTACAAAATCTCCCTCCTGAAGTACAAAACATTGCAGAGAAGTACATTTGACTGTACTTCGAAGTACGAAGTACAAGAGCGAAAAAAAGTACTGTACTTCCGAAAGAACTACGGTTGGTCACATTATGTATACACAAATGCATTTTGCGTAAGTGAAATCTTTCCCGCTATTTGTGGTGTATAACTGGATAACTGGAACATTTTACTTTCGGCCAAGATTTTTTACGATTTATGGTGTATGTACATATGTATGTAGCTTGAAAGTAAGCTATTGCTTGAGACCCTGAGACATAGGATTTCTAATCAACTTCGCTGTGCCTTAAATGCAGGGACCGAGAACTCGATCGGCTTGTGGTTTAGTTCTGAGAACAAAATTAGAACGAAAGTATCGACAACGTTTTCAAGGAGGATTAAATAAGAACAGAAGTCCGAGGAACGTCTTGCGCGAGAACAAACCGAGAACAAACGTTTTGAGAACTTAACGTTAAGAATGAGAGGACCGTCTGCGTGTTGAGATACAAAATTGGTCAGTGATAACCATGACTGTTAATTCTAAGCCAGAGGAAAGCTTGATTATTTCAACTTCCAGATCCTTTATCATTAGGGTTAACTGTCCATTTATGAAGCAATGTTTCATTTTCTGTGCAATAAAAATTCGTGTCTTAAGTCTTTCGTTGACTTTCTTATTTGGTTAATTTCAGTATTCAAACAATTCAAACGTTCTGAGAAGCTTTGAGAAAAATTTTGTTTTTGCTTTCATCCTTCGGAATAGTTCAGAGAAGATTTCTTCCTGTTTCGTTCTCTATCAGAAAGTTTCTGAGACTTTAGTTCCCAAATGATTTTTCGAGAGAAAGTTTCTTAAACCTTTGTTCCCGTTTTGTTTTTAAACAGAACGTTCCGGAGACTTTTGTACCCAGTTTGCTCTGTTAGCAATGTTCCCGAAAGTATTGTTCGCATTTTATTCTCTTCGGGAACGTTCCACAGGGTTTTGTTCTTATACAATTTCCATTGAGAACGTTTTCGACAGTTTTGTTCTCACTTTCGCTCTTGTGAAAATATTTCCGAAGGGTTTGTTCTCATTTCTATTTGGGTTTTTAAGTGCTCTTGGGAACAAACTACGAGAACGACATTTAGTTTTGATCACACTATTTTGTCTCGATCCCTGCTTATATGTAATATATATCTGAAATTCATGGATACAAATTATATGCATTAAAATAAAATATAAGAGGACTATAAAGGTAAAGTAAAATATATGTAAGTAAAAAAATTAACTTTTAAGGCTTCAGTATGCACATATCTAGCGGATAATACATTCAATATAGACACTGGTCCAAATAAGCGGCACCCTAACGTATATAAATATTCTTAAATATATATTACTGAAAGGTAACTACATTTTTCGTACTACATACGATCTCTTTCCTCCTTTGCAGGCGCCACTACTGACTCCCCAATTAAGTTCATTAAATTGCCGGCACAAGCGCCAATTATCCATTACACACAAAGCACAGATGACTCACCTATCATCAGTTATCGCAACAGCAAGGAACATTTGCCATTTAACTCTGCAGGAAACGCCGTCAACACCCACACATCATCGCCCATTCTTAGTCGATCCGCTTTGCTATATTCGGAGTACATTAATGCCGCTATGAGCGCAGTGGGTCTAGAGGAGGATGCAGCACAGCGACAACAACGTGGAAGCGCCAACGCCTGCCCTAGATCTTGCCCGCCAAGTACAACAGTAGGCGCGATACCGGTTTGCAGCTCCGATGGTTTAATTTATGCGAATCTGTGTGAAATGAAGAAAAAAACTTGCTCCCGAAATGGGTCAAATACAATGAAGGTAAGTATCATATGGAAGTGTACTCATACATACATATATGTATATGTAGTGGCATAAAAATATTACCCATGCATGAACTTTTGTCAAAAATTACAGGCCGTTAAAGATGGTTGTGAACGGGCGCGGGGCTCTGAATGCAAACACCGCTGTCCAACAGAGAAGGATCCAGTTTGTGGCACCGATGGCCACACTTACCTAAATCGTTGCATGTTGCGCGTGCAAGCGTGTCGTGTGGGTATGGCTGCGGTTAGCATGTCGCACGTGGGCGCCTGCAGCAACATCAGTGCCATACGCGAATCCTGTCCAGTAGATTGTAAGAGCGCGCCGAAAGATGGGCCAATCTGTGCATCGGACGGCAACGTGTATAATTCGACATGCGAAATGAAATTACTAACATGCAGCCAAGGCGTCGTGAAGACCAGTCGAAAGCATTGCCAATCGACGCGCATGTGTCGTGAGTCTTGCTGGCGCGTTGCGCGGCCCACCTGCGGTTCTGATGGGCGGTTGTACGCCAGTCCATGTAAAATGCGTGCCTACAACTGTGGCAAGCATATCTTCGAAGTACCGCTATCGTTCTGCATGTCGCAGGAGCGAAATAGTAATGGCAGCAAAGCAGCTGATAACTGTCCCACCGAATGTCCGCCAACATCAGACGCACCATCGCAGTATGTATGCGGAAGCGATGGTAATATTTATTCATCGCTCTGCGAATTGAAAATGCTCAATTGTGGGTAAGTAGGCGTAAGCCGGTACAGCGTAAAGCGGATCAGACATGCTGTGAAGTTAATGTAGATATGTAGTTTGATAAATTTCACATTTTGTTGTTCTGAATTTCTTATTGCAGTCCTCAACGCAAATCTATACAAAAAATGGGCATGGACAAGTGTAAAACTCGTTTAAACCGATGCAAACAGCTGCCGCCCTGCAAAGATTTCAACAACTTATTTGGGTCTATATTTTCTTCCAATCGAAACGATAAACTCTGCGGCAGTGATTCAAAAACGTACAACAATGAGTGCGAGTTGGCGCATGCAACATGCTTGTAAGTCTGTCTCCATGCATTACAAAAATGCAAATATCTACATATCGGAATTATTCAGGAGACGCGTTTAAAGCTTTCAAATTTCGTTTTTTTTTTTTTATTGTAACAGTCTTCATGAGAGCCATTCTTTTTTAAGTCGGACGGATTTCGTAAAAAAAAATATGTCATGTCTCCGATTCGCTTCAATTTTTTTTTATGGGTTCTATACATGAAATAAGCTAACACGGGTTCGAGGAATTTTTTTTTTAATTTTTCTTCTTCGGAGATGTGATCTGTCAAAGTTTGCAATTTTTCGTGATTCTGACTAATCATGTACTACTTCAAATAGTTATGTATCGGGTTCTGCGCATCGTAGAGACTTCATCTTAACGTCGTTTTAAAGCTAAATAAACGGGCTTAACATATCTACATATAAGGGGGTCAAGATTGTTGCAAAGCTAGCTTAGCTATTAACATTTGAACTTTCTGAAGATGATTTCCATAGTAAAGACCAGTAAATTAGGGATTTAAAATTATACCATCGTATTCCTTGTTTAATTCCGTATAAAATACATGTTTAAAAAATTGGGGGGTTTTCAGGAACTATTTTTAAAATAATTTTTTTATGAGGAGGTGGTTTTTTTTGGTGAGAATCAACAATTTTTTGTAATTTGTTTTCGAAAACTTATGTTGAGATATATTTAGTAAGGTGTTAAACATCGGATTTTTGCAAAAAAAAAAATTTATTGCGGATTTCGATAAAATACATGTCTAGGTATAATATATGTATGGCAAGATTTTTCTTAAAGGCGATAAACCCCTAGAAATGGACGTAGCAATTGTAGGACTAAAGTAAGCAAAATGCAAATTTTATTGCGGAGTTAGGCAGAAAATCGCTTCGTTAGCAACATTTGTTCCACAACTTTTTCAATCCATATAGATATTCTGGCGAAATCCATAATAAAGTCTAAATCAACAAACCTACCGAGAAAAGGATTTAAACGATGATTCGTTATGTAAGATCAGTTAATAAAATAGACAACACGTTATGCTCAAGAGGATGGTTTATTTTTCATTCCAAATGTTTTACATCAGTCGTGACGAATTATTATCGATATACATACATTAGTGCCACAATACACTATACTATTAATTTCTACGTACTCATACGTCACATGAGTGGACTCGACGTTTCATCCCTCTTTTTTTATAGAAAATAGAAGTGTTTAATTTATGTATTTAGTTAGTAGTAAACATTAAATTAATTATAGAGACAATGAATATTTTAAATTGCATTGGCGAAAACTTAATTTAAATGTTACAATTAATCCATATTTGTAAATTCAGTTTTGAGATCAGTATTTTACTATTCAGTTCTTAGTTTAATATTAAGTAATATTTACGATTACAAGTTCAATCTCAAAGGTGGCTTCACAATTCTTCCTGATCTTGTGGAGAGTTGCAAAGGAGGCGGAGCTACTTTTACAGGCAGAGTTACTGCCGGATTGATCGCTTTTCTTGTAGTTTCCAAGTCATTTGCTGAGAAGATGGTGTTGATTGAGACTGGTCGAATGTTGCTTTGCAATTAGTTGGTGAGGCTTGACACATTTCCATAGTTGTGTGAGGTACTATTACTTTTTCTGGGACTGGCAGTTTAGCATCAGTTTTGCGTACCCAAGATGTATTCCTCCTGAATATGCGGCCGTCATCCAATTGAACTAAAACAGACCTTGGATTATTTTCGTGATGTTTTACTATTTCACCAGTTGACCAACCTCTGTGTGCCATTTTCATTCGTATGTGATCTTAAGGTTGAAAATTTTCAGCTTTCGCTTAGCATATGACGACTGTTCTTCTCTTAAAATCTGCAGTCTATTCGCAATACCTTCTATTATTTTAGGCTGAAGATTTTGATTTGAGGTTGGAACTTGTGAACGCGTGATTCTACTGCATTGTCTTTGGTTTAGGGAACCTAATATTGGATCTCTAGGAGTATTATTCCAGTTAAATAGTGCAAGCCTGTAGTCTGTAGGTGCGTTCGTTTAAAATCTCCAGTAAAAACCAACCAACAGCAAAATTCCGGCGAAATGTCACCAGTTCTCTCCCAAGAGAAAAATATCCAAACAGTACGCGAAGAGAAAATTTGCAGAAACTTGCAAGTTCGACGAACAGCTAATATCATTTTTATTTACATTCAAAAGTGCAAAATTTAAAACGTACGAAAACTCATCACAAAGTGGTATCTTGACACAGTTTATTGATTTAACAAATAGCTACTTTCTTCTTACAAGTTTAATTAGCCGCATTTTGTAATTTTTAACTTTCAAACCATCAAATTCAATTTTGTGATTTGCGGAAATTCAAACCAGCTGTTTTTGATCAGCTGTTTTCCTGTTGGCAAAAGGTCAATTCAATATCAAAAAATTTTTACGAATTGTTACTAGTACTTGCAAGTTTTTACTGGAAATGCATTCAATAACCCAAAATATTTGCAAGAGAGAGCGAATTCGAGAGCGTAACAACCCGAGAGAGCTGCAAATTCTTGCAAGTAAAAATTTTACTAGCAGGAATTTGCAGGAGTCAAAAGGTAAGGTTATGTTTCAAATTCAAATGTAAACAAACTGTTTAAGAGGATGATTTGATGAAACATAATTAGTGAAATAAAAATATGGATGAAAAATTTAAATCTATCGTATATTTTTTTTATTTTTATGACGATGGGAACTATTCCCAATTAAAAAGAAAATTGCGCGCCAAAACTTAAGTGTCAAAATGGCTTAAGTTGCAATTTTTTACTAGTTTTGCGTCCAATAACTTTTTCTGAAAAATTTCTCTTGCTCTCAAATTTACTCTCTATTTTTCTTTTACGCTCTCGCTGCAAGTACTTACTTGAAAAGTTATTGAATGGACCTAAAAATTTTTCCAGCAGAAACCAGCAGCTTCCCCTCAAAATGAAATGTCACTTTGCTCTCTCAATTTCCCCTCCTTTGCGAGTTTTTTGCGTACGCGAACGCAAAAACCTGAAAGTTTTGGTTAAACATGAATAATCAACAGCTACGCGAACGCAACTTGTATTGTCGAGGCTACACTTTCGCAATATATTTTTTACCAACTGGACTGCTCGTTCTGATAATCCGTTCCCTTGTGAATGTAGCGGGCTAGATGTGCGATGACTAAAACACCAGGTAGTTGCAAAATCTTCAAATTCTTTGCTTTTGTATGATGTGTCGTTATCACTTTCAAATATTTTTGGAATTTTTAAGGTGCTCTATTATTTAATGTGAAGTTTGATTTTTAAGTTTTGTTCAAATCGATGGAGTCTGTAATTACTATATATGGCTCATTTTCGAATGCTACTATTTGCCACGTTAGGGTGGGTATTTCTTTTGTTAAAACCTCTTCCTTATCTTTAGTTCTTTGTGTTTTCCACAGACCGGGCAGCTTTTGACCTTTTCTAGAATATCACTGTACTGTCCTTTCCAATAAAGCCCTTGTCTTGCTCTTTTGACACAACTTTGTATACCAAAATGTCCGGTGTGTATTGCTTTCAGCATTTTTGAAATTCATTTCTGCGGTACTATAATTTTATCACTTTTAAATGCGAAGCCATTGTAGTAAGCTAGTTCCTCCCCAAAATTATAGAGAAAATTACGATCAAATACCAACATCACTTAAAACTCGTTCATAGGCATGCCATTTTATTGAGCTGTTAAGGCGTCGAAACATCGAATACGGGACAAATGCAGGACATTAAAAGAAATACAGAACATTTGGCGTCCCGTATAAAATAACTAAATTACCAGGATAATGGGCCAAAAAAGAGGACTGTCCCGAATAATACAGGACGGATGGTCACCGTAGGCATACAAGTTCCCACTTCTACTTGACCTTTGACGTACGTCAAAGAGAACATAGTCCTTTTAATAATATATATATTTTTTTGTTTTCTGTGTTACCTGCATGGGTCTCTTTCGTTATTATGATTTTTTTTGGACCAATCTTAAACAAAAAAACATCTACTAGACACAAAAGAAGAAAGTGTGCACTATAATTTTTAGCCAAATTTTCGTGATTTGCTTTTGATGTCACATATATATATTCGTTTCAATAATTTCAAATGGGGCTCTTTGGGGAATTTTTTTTTAGCAAAAATTTTAAAAACAGTAATTTTGTTTACTTGTCGAGCAATATTTTTTTTATAGGATTCTTGGCTAAAAACTTCTGTGGTAAAACTGTCCCTCTACTTCTCCCTTCTTTGCTATTTAAAGTCAAAGAGTAGTCCTTCAATAGGGATTTCCAGCTGAAATGGTAAACGCCTGGCTATAAAGAGAATCGATGCTCAAATAATAAAAAAGCTATAGGTTGACCTAATTAGGTATCATCATCAGTGTTTCCAATAATTCAAATGCTTATAAAAAAACGGGGTGCTTTTTTAAAAAAATAAAAATGTTCTGATCCGATTCGGCTGGCAGCAACGACTTTGAGCACAGAATTTTTTTCCAAATTTTCATTCCTGGAAAATAAATTATTATTTTCCATATCAATCTATTTATTTTAAATAACTTAATTTACTTACCTAATTGTTTCTTGAAAATACTTGACATCCGCATCCGCATTCGCATCCGCGGATCTCTAAAATTCCACATTCGCAACATCCCTAGTATGCACTATGTAGTATGAACGATGTGTACTTAATTAATGCTAATTTTAAAATATTTTACTGAATCGTTTGGTATTTATGTATGCAATTATTTGCATAGATATATACTAAATGCATTAATGCTAATCGTCACGAAAGAATGTAATACTTTCGATGGAAACGTGTTACGCAGAGGCTTAACGGTTAGACTATCTAGACAAAGACAAGAATAAAAGTAAACGCTAAAAACTCTAGCCTCGGCATGGGCCGATTCATCGATCGGTTTAGGCATCTCTAAATACCAGATACCGCAAATAATGATTTTTTCTTTTAAATTTGATACATGCTGCTTGCGTGAGGAGTACGCTACCACAATCCCAAAAACAATAAACAAAACTTAGAAAAATGTTTTTTAGTTGAGTTTTCTAATAGAACTTAATACTAATTTTGCTGTAACTTATTTATTTATTTATTTATTTATTTATTTTTAATCATTTTCATTTAAAATGTAGTTCGATTCATATTAAAAATCACATGAAAAAAGTTCCAAAGTATACTCTAAGTTCACAAAAATTAAAATTATCGAATATGCAGTTTTGTAGCCCATTAAATTCTGGCAAAATAAAGTTTAAGTTTCAGGCGCTAAAAATTACCCTTAGTTGTGAGATTTTTGTTTGTTGGGGGTGTAGATTTTGTTCATGTTCTGAATAAAAAGTTCGAAATTTTTATGAAATATTTTTTGCAATTTGATTAATTTCGGCGAACTTTGTGTAATCTTCAAACTTTTATTTATGTGGTTTCCGATATGAACGGAACTATCTTTCATATTAAAACTATTGAAAATAAATGAACATACGTTGCCAACAACAGAATTCTGAATTCTGCTGTTACTTTACTCGCAGCTATACATACTTCAACTTTTCTTCCAGGTGGTTGTTGTTGTGTTTCTCTCTCAATTCAGAGTAGGACAGCTGCTGAGAAAAATTCTGAACTCTTCTGAGTTTTTAACTTAACTTCAACATTAATTCCGAACATACCATTATTGCCATCCTTGGCTTTAATTTAGTTTTTTCGCCTCACAAGGCACTTGAATTATGAGTTTTGGTTCTAAAAATTATTACATTTATTAAAAATTATTTAAAAGGAAAAATATGTCATGAAGAAGGAAGAAATTTCAATGCATCCGCCTCTTAAGTGACGTAGGTTTCGAGACGCTTATGTTCTGTCTGTTTGTCTGATGCCAGTAGATACTTCGTTTTGTCCTCGTTTAGCGCCATACCCACACGCTTTGCATCTCTATCTAATTCCAAGAAGGCAAAACAGACGTAGCCCTCGTACACTTCTACGTTCTTGTAAAGTATCGTGTCTAAGCAGTTCAGTTCTGCGGCTCTTATTACATATCTTGTCGAAAAATAGTAAAGAAACCATACGAAAGGGCGTCACCTTGTCAGAAACCTCGTTTGGTATCAAACGGCTCGGAGAGATCCTTCCCAATTCTGACGGAGTTGGCGGTACCGCGGTAATTTTCCCGTATGGTCGCAGGGCATGCATAAAAATTGATGCATGCACCTTATCAGCTCCTCTCCGCCGTACTTGAACAGCTTGTCATAGTCTGGTGGTGGAACATCGACTCCGTCCTCATCGACTTGGGGCTCGGGTTCGTCTTCTCCACAACTTACAGTGCTGCTACTATTCAGTAGGGTGGACCAGTGCTCCCTCCATATTTTAAGTCCGTTCTGAACATCAGTTGGTCTTGCCGGAGTTCGCCCTGGTCTTGAAACCTTCCGTAAGTCGCCTAGCTCTCTGGCAAAATTTTCGAGCGTTTTTCCTTTCGTACAGCATTTCAAGCTCTTCGCACTCACGTATTTCGTCCTCTCTCTTCCTATTGCGGAAAAAAACGTCTCACTATCACTCTTCAATTTGCTATAATGGTCAGACATTGCTCGCGTTGTGCCGATCGCACCGTGGCCCTGTAGGTTGTTTCTTTTTTTTCTGCAACTTTTCGAAGTTGAGCCTTTCTTGGTGCGTATCTTGGCTGCAACAAGATAGTGGTCCGAGTCGATGTTTGGGCCTCGGAGTATACGGACGACTAAAACAATGGAAGCCTTCCGTTTCTCACAACACTATCGATTTGGCTTCCCGTTTCCGATGGAGGTTTTTGAGGCAGAACCATTATCAATGTATGCACAATGCATGAATTAAGAAATAATAAATAAATTTCAAACCCAATTCCTGACTTCAGAGACCTATGTATGTATGTACATACATATGTATAGAAAAATTTAGGGAGCGATTATTTCTTGAAAACTATTAACCCTGCAACTCCTTCCATGGGCCTCTGTGACCCTATATGAGAAAGTAAGTTTAAAAAAGCAGTTAGAGGGTTAAAACATTTTAAAATAGTGTTAAGCAGAGAATTTTATTAAGTTCTATTTAAGGTTTGACTATGGGCGTTCGGGCATAGAGTCGTTAAGACCCTAAACTTGTTATATAACTACTTCACAAAAGCGTTTATAACAATTAAATTTTAATCAATATTCTTTACTTATTTAATATTTTTAGACGAGGAGTAAATCTGGCTCATATTGGCCCATGTACAGACCTAAAGGCACAGGCAAAGGATTGTGGTGAGCGTTGTACACGAAGCGACATCGAAAGCGGCCCTGTTTGTGGTTCTGACGGCAACACATTCCCATCAATGTGCGATTTCAAACGACGCACTTGTCACATGCGCGTCGTTCCGGTGTCCTTGAAGAATTGCTTGCTAACTGCCGAATGCGAGTCAGATTGTGACGCCCAGCCTCCAAATTTCGTTTGTGGATCTGATAATAAATTTTATAAATCCGAGTGCCACATGCGCAAAGAAAACTGTGGCAAGCATGTATTTGTTGTTCCTTTAAAACGTTGCCTAAGCAGTATCCAATTCAAGGGCTGTGCGCGAATTTGCCCCAGAGAATTCGAACCTATCTGTGGAACGGATAACATGACCTATCTTAATGAGTGCTTTTTGGACATTGAAAACTGTCGAACAAATAACACAGTGAAAGTGAGTCACTATGGAGCATGTGGTCGACCAGAGGCGCCTTCGACAAATTATCTTTACTGAAGTGAATTAATCGTTGGATGCGGACGTCAGTCCAACGTAAACATCAATTGCAAATCATGACCAATACATGGACTGCAAATAAAGAGATATTTTATGATTTTTGTTTATGCATTTATATTTATTTAAATTTGTTTCTTTCTACTGTTTTGCAAACAGTTTTGAATAATATTTATTATTTTAGTGATACTCATGTTTAGTTTAAAATATAGTATAAAGTGTGTTTGTATTTATGTTAGATTTTTTATATCATATTTTTGACAAAAAATAAAAATAAACTATATATGAACAAGTTCGTAACTCATGTTCACTAATAATGGAGTTTACTAACTTTACCTTAAGCTGAATCATCAAAAAGTTTGCTTAGCATTTGGTTTATTTCATGCGGCCGATATTTTACATATTTATCTGGATTTTTGCTGAACTGCACCGATGCATACCTAAATGCACGAAGAAGTACGTATTAATATAATGAAATATGTATAATAATCATATCAAGCGTAAGTATGCTTACATTTCATAAAATCTATTGTATTTCGGAAGTATGTGCTCCACATTGTCACGTTTGATACCTTCCCTCAAAATCACGTCTGGAATGGAAATACCACGTTGAACTTTACAAGCCTCTTCGAAATCCTTGTTGAACGTCTGTGGAGGAGATGCGATTATTGTAAAGAAAAACGATAGATTTAAAAATACTTCTTACTGAAAATCGCTCCTTCAATATGCTGCGATCTTTATCTTTGACCTTGCCATGTGAAGGCCGCGGCAACTCATCTACTCCTATGCTTACAAGCATTTTAGACCAAGTCTTTTGGTAAGAGAATTTTAGTTCTCGAATCATATCTAAATAGCATTGCTCACAATCTGGCTCTGCTAGTGTTACCAAATCAATTAGATTTGACTGTTGTAGAGATTTTAGTATATAATGAATATTGTTTAAACGAAAGAGATGTTTGGTAGCTTGGTCGTTGTACTGCTCACATTTGTTCATTATCGAAAGATTAAGCTCCGCTAAAGCTTTTTCTATTAAAAAATGTATTAAATAGCAACAATTATTAGAACTTGATTTTAACTTACTGATATAAACTGCTAGCAATGCTTTATTACGCTCTTCGCCAGGGAGTGCTTTTTTCATGAGTATTGTATCCAATTGCGTACTGTAAAGCACATCTTGTTGCAAGATAGAGCCAATCACATCATAATGGTCATATAAATGTTCTATAAACCAGATTGTGTTGGAGGTCAGTTCGTGCACCGTAGCATCTTTCGGAACATTAACATAGCCATAACCAAGTGTACTTGAACTCATGCCAACTATGTTAGTGCCTGATTCACCTTTCACCACATCCAGGAAATGTTCTAGTGCTTTAGCGCCCTTGAATCATTAATTATTTAAGCATTAATATAAATAGGTACCAATGAAGAAAAATATGCGATCATCCTACCGTTGCTTGAAGCTTATTAAGCACCTTTGTAAGTTGCTCTCGCTGTTGCGGGTCATAGGTACGTTCAATGTCTGGTTGAAGCAAGATTACACGTTTGAGTGCCGAAAATATTCCTAAAGCTGATGTCCACTCCTTTCGCGATATGCAACGCATAATGCGGTTTGTAATTGCTTCTGCATCTTTAACTACCAGTTCAATAGAGTTGTAAGCTAACTTTGAAAAAACATCTCCGTGTTTGGATGCAGGCACGATCTCTGTCATTAAAGAGCGCTCCCAATTAAGTAGTCGCTGTAAGCCCAAGAGCATCACAAGGTACTTGTCAAGTTCTTGATCACCGTCCATGAACTCCTCAGCAGACAAGTGTTCAGATTGCGACGAAGCCTTTTTTATGGATATTCCAGTTGATTGTTCAAGTGTCTGAGTTGCGCGCAAGTATAATTTATTTGCTTTTCGCTCAAAACTGCAAAAAGGAATTAAGTTATTATCTTAGAATGGGAAGGTAAATATGTATGTATTTCTAACATTTGTTGCAACCGGGCTGACGTATTCTTCTTTACTTCAGGTCGTCCACTGTGACGTGGTTTCTGGGAAAGTAATATTAAATTTCATAATTACAATGCAGCGTGTAAGTAAGATATGTACTACACACCAAAGCCTCATTTCCCCAACTGCTGCTTTTTTGATGATCCTTTAAATTTTGGAGTGAACGCAGTACCACCTCTCCTCTTTCTGTGGCATAAATTACTGCATATTCGCGCCGCAAATTTTGTTCCAGCCAATGGGCAATGGTACCTAGCTCCTCTCGTGTGTTTTGCGACAATTGGCGGAAGGAGGTATACTCATCGCTGGAGTCATCTTCAATATAAATAAGATCTAAGAGTTCAACCGGTTTAAGTGGCGCGCTATGTTTCTTCAGTAACAAACGAAAATGTTGGTTTAAGCCTTCACAGCCAGTATTGAAAAGACTGGTCACATTTTCCAATTCAACGCTTTGAGAGTTATGGTGCAGGAAGTAGTCCATTGCAGCGCGCAATTTGCCCAAAGCTTCAAGAAAACCATTAACGTTTCCTTCTATCGGCCCTTGGTGAATAAGATTGCACACTTCCTGGGAAATATCATAGTGGGCAAGTACTGTTTCAAGACACACTAAAGTTGCTTCCAAATCTATATGAATATTAAGTTTATTTTCCTAAAACCAGTTTAAAATTTGGGCTGTGTTATCTTACTCTGTTGTCGTTTTTGAAGCTGCTCTGTCTCCTTATATACTGGCAGTATTGTCTGCTCCAATTTTCCGAGGCGTTGCTCGAAAACAGTTAAAATACTTGACATTTGCGTCGACAAATCATGATATTTCTCTACTCTATCTTTTAACAAGGCTAAATTGGATGTTTCTTTCTCCAATTTGGAGGATGCTTGGCCACAACTATCCAAATTATTCATTATTGGATGTTTTGGTGAAGGTTTCTGTTTTGTTTCGCTTTTCTTAAAATAAATGAAATCTCCAATCAGTGTTGCTGTTGTGACCTAAAAGGGCCATTTGACCTTTTTAAGCGCCAATACCCTTTGACCCGATTTTTTGCAATTTTTATTTTTTTAGCCTTTTCCAAAATGATGTGCGTCTTTGGCCCCTTTTCTAAGATTTTTTTTACGAATTGTTATCAGCACAATTCTATTAGAAAATAATTGGCATGATACAATAATAGCTTTGTTTCTTAACAGATAATTATCACTAGTTTCTGTTGGAAAGCGTTTCTTAACCCAAAAAACTAGCAGAAAAAAGCAGCTCTCTCTCGATCTCTTCGCGCCAAATATTTTCAAGTCACCGATCAGCTGATTACTTGCTAGTTTGCGTCTCTTTACTTCTTCGTTATTTCGCTATCTCTGTGAGCGTAATTCTATCCATTTTCTCATTCTTGTTCTTCCTGATAAATATCTGCTAGAAAAGAACAGAAACAAAGCCAATATTAGGTGCAATCCCGTATTCCTCGGACTCGGACTAGTTAAACTGTCAAAAAATAAAAATTCGCACAGAGCGAGAGAGTAACATTGAAAAGTATGGGATCACTTTCTAGTAAAAAATGGTAACTTCTGTCAACTTCAACATAACCTCCAAATTTTGGTTGTAAATTTTTGCTTATTTTGTATGTAAACACACTCAGCTCACACATGTAAATAACCAAAAATACTTTCAAATTCATTAGAATCCACTTAAACAAGTAAGTAAATACTTTTCAACATGAATTAGCACTTTTCTTTTGTTTACAATTTGGTTGCCAAACACACTACAGCTGATCGTTTGACACATTTACCAGAATTTACCAGCAAAAAATTCTCGGACTAAAACTGGTATCTTCTGACAGATCACCACGTGGATCAAAACTGATAAATTTTTCGATGAATTTTGGAGAGATACTTTTTTTCAATTTTGATACTTTTCCAAATACAAATGAAAAAAATATGTAAATTTTTATGCATTACAAAACATGTCGTGCAACTGTGGCAACGTACATCCAAAAGTTTATTGTCATTCTCTGAACGAACCTTCCATGTATTGTGATTCATGGTCCATGTCGAAAAACGTGTGAACAAACGAACAGTATCGTAGCGCTGCATTTTTTTATTTTCGCTATGTTCAAAACAAAAATTAGGGCTTGGTACTCGGCAATTCGGTGCTCGGTAAGTGTTTGGGGTGATTCGTGGCCGGAGACCAAAATAAAAACATCCACA